CACTTACCTGGCATAATCCCGATGCTTCACAACTAGATGATCTGAAACCACTAGAGGGTAATCTATTTATATACAAGTATGCATTATATGTGAGCTACACATAGAAATGTAAGCCAATGAAAATTGCCAAACATTTCCCATATCATTTCCCATTGATTAAATCTGTGTCATTCGAGTAAGAGTATTTTAAATTTCAGAGAAGGAGAAAACATTTTCAACTTGTGTTTTAAAAACTGAGTACTTCGTTCATTTTCTGTGGTGAAAGAGATTGAAGTTACAAAGTACACCAGTGACATTTCAGAAAATGCCATATTGCGGCTTTTATTTCCTTATTTAATCCCACTGCGAAATAACTTTACTTTAAATTTTACCATTCAATGCCAACACCGTTTTTACCATACGACATGCATTGGCCTTTGGAATATGGTTTCGCGTCTTAGAACCATCTCATTATGTTCATTATTCATTTGCATTTCCATAAAAGTAACTTTATAAGTCTTAAGTATTGTTTTGATGAGTTGCACGAAAAGACACTACTTCATCCGGGGCCAGCCAGTTACAAACGTTTTAGTGACAAGTGTTACAAGCGATTGCAGTGAATTTATTCATCATTCTGTTTACATCTATGTTTAGTCCATTTTTAGTCCAAGCAAATATGATTAGACGTCGTCTCCCACAATTTTCAAATCTTCTCAACTGAAAAAACTAGTACCTATATTTTTACATTTATCAATCCTCATCTTTATTTCTTATTTGTAGTATTGTAGGTGATAGATGTACTGAGTAATTCACGATAATTTCGGTACAGTTCAAACTGGTGATTGTTTGCAGAACAGACCTCTGTAAGATTACCATCATGAGAAAAATATACCGTAGTTGTCGATTTTGTCTTATTATACTGAAGACATGCAAATGTGTGTTGCAATCTGAAAGTAATAATTTACAATTACCAATAGTAATTTTGACCCTCACAATTTCTGCGACAAGTTTCCTTCAGATATTCGAATATTTCTTCCGAAGATGTTAATGATAACATTACGGTGTTCAAATTTCCCTTATTCTCATATAAATGAAGTGAAAACGATATGTATTCTTTTCACGAGGTCAATACAAGCTTCGTGCTCACAGGTTATCAGATATTTGTCTAAATGTAAGTTTCAAAGTAAACTAAACAGATGGAGAACCTGTAGTATTGTGCGCGACTACTCACGCCAGCATCCTGATCTATTCTCAACAGAGCTTTCAATGCAACTTTTCCAGGTTGACATGTACTAAGTATTATGCAAAGCTGTATAAACAAGTAAACTGGAGAAGCATGATCCATGTGGTTGATAACAACTTCAAGGATTTTCTGAAACATGCGGACAACTAGGAAATTTGTAGTAAGCAGTAAAATTTGTTCACAAAGACAGTGAGGACAAGTAGTTATCAACTCGTATTGATACTAACTTCGGAAAGTATCGTCAATAATGTGTTCTAGAATTTCAATCATAACATTGAATATTATCGAGAAAATTTGCCTGCTATTGAATCTAGATGATGTAGTCGAATCAGACATTCAAAATAAAATTGTGCTCAAACTACTATCATATGTTGTGTGAACTGAAACAAATACAAATCGATGTGGATAAACATAAGGGATATTGCTAGAGCAAACAACACAGTGATTCATACAATGAATCTCAAGGGAAATGAAATCCACAGTTATAATAATGGGTGATGACAATCTAACAAACCGTGTTTTACAATTACAGTCAAGCGGTTATGATAAAATAATGAGTTTCTCATCCACTACAAACAACAACAATTTTTTCATTATTTTCCAGTCTACCATTTCTGTCTAAACACTAGTCTTCTTTCTGATAATTTCAACCAATCTGTGATGCAATGTGAAAAGTATCGCAATTCTTATTGGTTCATTTTCCTATGCGTTTATCACATATGAAGCATAGAAAATGAAAATGTATATAAGCGGACGATACTTCGGACAAATTATACACTAAACTCTCATAGTAAGAATAATCATGCCAGGTAAGGTTGTTGTTGTGTGGCATCATCATCGTCTATCCACATTCTCCAGAAATCATTCATCACAGTTGTAATTAACATTAAATGTTTATTCTCTCTGTTAAATTGAAGGTTGTGGTGGTGGTAGTGGAAGCTGCAAATGCTGTTCTGGATGTGCATCGGGCAAAGGATGTGATTGTCCATCTGGTCAATGCCAATGTTCAGGGTGTACGTGTGGATGTTCGTGTCCTTCCACATGCAAATAAGATGATATTAAGTCATTTCAAACTGTATTCAGATTCATTAATTATTATTAATTGCATAATATGTTGATAAATGAAAATAAAATAATAATTTAACTACAATGTGCATTTTGAATGGTGATATTTATTTGCGATTTGATGTTCGAATATTGAGACATCCTTATGACCAGTGTTGTCAGGCTGTAGTGAAATGTGTGTATAACGTTATGATTAGATTTATTTACTTACTTATTATTTATTTTAACACATAGATATTGGTACAAGGAGGCACCAAATACATATGCGCCACACGAATCTCAATTGGTTTGTGTGAGGGCTGTGATACTGCCCGGGTGCCCAAACCGAAGCAGGTGGTTTTCTTAGGGGGTCACACCCGGAGCCTTCGACCTGGGCGTCTGACCCACAAGGCAGTGGAGCATCGTAAGGAGATGCAGTCCCATGGTAGCCGGTGACCAACGATTGATTCATACGCCATTTGTTCCTTCAGGATACTGGAGCCCATGTACACCATTGATTTGGGATCCGGTTAAAGCGCCGGACATTCGCTTTTCGTCCTCTCATTTTCGTAAACAACACCCCCGCCACGAGAAGGCAGTGAGTAGGACTTCCCTGGCAGAGGCTATATACGCGTAGCCATGTGGGAGCATTTCGAGAGGGAGAGCGGACTCTCTCCACTCTCGGCCGTACCAGGGCATTCGGGGGCTATGATTAGGTTACTCACGAACAAGTAATTGTTTCGAAATGGCTGATGGATGATTGCTGAGCTGGTTTGATTGAGGATAATTTGTTTTCTCGTTGTTCATAAAATATTTCTCTTGATATGAATTCACATTAAAACTTATTATTTGTTATCATTGCTGAAATGTGAAAGACTTCGAATATTGATTAGTTTCTCCATATGACTGGAGATTTCGCTTTATGTGAATTGCATCATCCACATATATTGTTAGTAGTAATTATTGTCTTGCCTGAATATTTTCAACTTTCGACTATTACAATCTTAGTTTTTCATCACGTAAGCCTGAAACTCACCCGCGAAATTACAGATCGTTCGATAACTAATTTAAACTATCTCTTGATATAAAAACATTGGAGTAAAAAGTAAATTTCGATGCGATCACAGTGTTGATTGAAGCTTTAAGTGAATATCATGAACAGACATCAATTAGACAAACACTGATTACCTCAGAGAACTGGATAGCTTATTACAGAACGACCCAAAGCAAATAGAATGTGGTTCTTGTCACAGATGAGAATTTGTATTATTATTATTACGATTATTATTGTGTGAGTGTAAGATCGACCACCTGAATTCATACAAACAGTGTAATGAACTGATAATTGATGACAAAACCCAAATTACCGAAACCAAACCTTCAACAAGCAGATGTCAAATGACAGAACAGCTGCTTTTCAAGATGTATTGTTTTGATTTTAGCGAAAGGAAACAATTACATGCAAAATATTTGACTCAAAAATGAATATTTTCAAATAATACATAGTATATAAATAACTATCACTTACGTATTTTATAAGTCAGCAATCTATTAAACTAAAATCTAACTATCAGTGTAGGGTTGTGGAGATTAAAAGAAACATACATCCACTTCTTCCAGGTTTCCAATGTTAGTCTAACATCCATCGATTCATGTTCCCAATCTAAAATCTAACTATCAACTTTACATATTACCTAGAATGTTGCACAGTCATATGGATTTTAGAATCTGTTCAGTTGTTTAACAAGGATTTGTATCATTTCAATGTTTTATGATTATTACCGATCAATATTGTGGTGTTTATTATTTCACTTATGCGTAAATTAGAGTTGTAATGTTTTCTGTTCAATGTTTCTGTTATCGTTGTTATTTATGTGATATTTGGCTTTTTTCTATTCGTCTCCTTATAAACATTTTCCCATGAATACAAGTCAGAGTAGCTTGAATGTATATTTCAGTGAAAGATTTGTTCACTCAGTTCATTGTACTTAACATGTTTACACGAATGTCAATTACAATGTGTGGTTCATAATTTAATCATAACGGATAGATTGAAAAGACAATATTCTTAAATTTTAGTAGAAAAAAGCTGTTAACAGAATAGCTTATATTATTTAGTGTTACGTTACTATCTATTCTAATGACTAATACCACAATTGCTTAGCTGATAATATGGATTTGTATATATTATAAATGATGTGAATTACTTTCTCTTCGTAAGATTTATTCATTTATTTAGAACGATTGCTACTTAGAATAATAACGTGATCACTGACGTTTAAAAACTGTCATGTAAGTAAGTACATTTCTCAAAGCAACCAAATTCATCAACATAATGCAAAATTGCTTCATTCAATGAAAGGATATCGGTTATCGAAATTTCTAAAAGTAACTTGTAGTGAATATTTAACTCACTTGATATCCTGTAAACAATTACTGATTTTAATATTGTAATGTGCACACTTATTCAAAAAAATGCAAGAAAACAAAAAATGTCTTGTTCAGTTGAGTAGTAGGAAACTTAGCATTGACTTTTAAAACCAATTAAGAAAATGTTGTTTTACGAAATATACTACTTAAGTAACATAAAATGTTATCGAGTCAATTAAATTCGTGTTAACCAATTTTTTCACAAAAACATATATTAGCAAACTTCAGTGCTTCACATCATCTGTAATTTATTCGCTACATTATCAAGTACATATTTGCCTTGAACCTAACTAATCACGTTTCTCAGTCAACTGCTTACTTTAATATGCCCCTAATACATAATTTTTATCTGAAAAAACTGCTTTGAGGTTTCATAGTTGTATTTTTTCATTAGATGTTTACTTTATGTTCTTTTTATGCCATTTTTATTCGCGTGACAGACCGTATCTATAGGTTAATCATAAGGTTCTTTTTTATTTTAGACAAAATACCTGAACTATAAACATTCATAACAATGAATGTTAACACAATATTTTGTTCATAGGTAATTCAGGCTAACATATTTGATGTAATTGAAGTTTACAATCACAGGTTTTATACTCTATTAAAGATGTGAATTAACTATACATCTGTGTATTGAATCATTTAGATTCTTACTTCCATACATAAAGTCCATTCATTCACGTTAAGTAATCGAAAATAAACTGAGTTATAACATCTAAAACTTCAACTACATCATGATAATCCTATACAATAAAGGTCTATAAAAAAATGATTCATTCAATATAAGAATTATTGTACAATTTCTTTAGTCTAAAGGTCAAGAAAAAACTATATACCTAATGATCTATAACTCAAAGTACAATATTTTGAATGAATAAAAAAACAAAGAAAAAGTACCATTTCTAAAAAAAAACATTCAATTTATTATTAGTGTCAAATTGTATCGTTTATTATTACTGGACTTAAAGTATAATTTATTACAATTACTCAATTCATTGTATTAATTTTATTACATATACTTTTCTTGTGATGGTTTATATGGTCCAATTTTTTTCACTGCAGTTTTATGAACACTACCCAATAAATAAGGATTGTAACGATAATTCTGAAGAAAAAAATAATAAGAAAATACAAAAAAATAAACCATATGAAAGAAACTTTTGATACAAGTTGAAAATTATAACGGAAGTTATCATATCATCTATACATTGCAACTAAAAAACCGACACTAAAATGTATATTATTTCAAATGATGAAAAACATGTTTTTTGATTGAGATCATGGACTGATTGATGTTAGGACATTATCAAAATCTTGGAAGCACTGAATGGTCGCTCAATTTTAATGATTAGTTGAGGTTAGACATTAATACCGTTAGATGCTGGCTCAATGGTCTAGAGGTTATGTGTTCTCGAGCGAGACCGAACGTTCTGGTTTCGAATCCCGTGAACGGGATCGTAAATGCGCACTGTTGAAGAGACCCATACCAGGACAAAACTGCAGTCCAGTGCTTCCAGGTTTTCAATGGTGGTCTAACATTAAGCAATTCATGACCTCAATGAAAAACTCAACAATCTCCATAAATCCATACTGATAAAAACATGTTTTCTAATCATATTTTATACTTTGTGATTTTCTATTATAATATTCGTGTTAAATCTAGATGAATACAATTCGATCAGTTATAATAAGCTATTCAGTAAGATGTTTTTAAATAGTCTGATTAGTAAACTTTAACCATCTTTCTAGATCGTTAATTAGCCCAGTAATATTGTGGTGTGTGCTACTGATGTCGGCAGATATAAGTAGTATTTATTATCAATTGAATGTGAAATGTCTAGTGGTAGAAGGTTAAGAAGATTGAAGAGAAGTGAACAAGAACAGAAAATGATTGATGAGGAAATGAAGAAACAGTCAAGTTTGAGAAAATCTATTGACATTTTGCAAATGAAATATTTACTGTATGGTTCTCAGATTTTACTACAATATTCTGTAAATTTGTATTTAAATACATTTGGTTGTACCCACTGATGTTCTCCTTCACTACAATATGAGTTTACTTTTTTTAAGGAGAATGAAATCTTACAGTTGTTTAATTATATTCATTGTCAGAGTATTTTTTTTTAAATTTTCTTCACCTAATTATCTGTGAATATTGACTCCCATCTCAGGAATATCAACCAGATGGTGAATTAATTAATATTCTGCAAAATGTTTTCTATTGATAGAAGATAACTTAATTGTTTTATTTATGTCACCCTTTTTCAGAGTAATACAAATCGCTAGAACATAAAAAAAGACACATTTTACAATGATTCCATGTATTTCAGTTTGTGCTAAACACAAAGATATGTGAATTTTGCTTACATTATCCCAAATCACAAACTACTTGACTATTTCAGTTTAAACTAAGACATATTAATTAGTAATGTCATTATTTTCATATGGAGTAAAATAAAATGTCTAATTTGAAAATCGAATTGTTTGTTTTATAACTATCTATCATAACTATCAGATATGCTATGACTTAACAAACATTTCAGTGACATAAATTACACATATTGACAGATATTCTCAGAGTGTACTTAAAGTTGCTTAAGATTAAATTGTTCTATTATATATTGTCAGTACAAACATGATAGTAGTCAGCCATGTGAAATGTACAAATCAACTTTCCTTAGGATTATTTAATTTTAGTTTTCTTCAACTTTACATACATTATGAATCATTATAAGAGACAGTCAGTAATAAAAGGATATAAGGTAATTTGGCGAACTATAGACTGATCAATATAGTTTATGCTGTATACAACACATATGTAGGGTAGTAAACAAAATAGCTCAGCCTGAGGCGTTAGGACATAAATAAGGCTGAAAAACTCATTGTCTGGTGTCGGAATACTATTAGTAGACTAGTATAAGCTATATTCCTATGTAGAGCTGAAGGTCTCATATGAGACTGGAGGTTCGCCATTGATATTGTGGATGTCAACTTTTGCTGACTGTTCATCAACAAAACTGGTTTGCTGGTTAACCGATTTCATCATACAAGTGGTTGCTTTTCAGTGTTCTAAAGGGCTATTGTCATTGGGATATTGTAAGGCATGTCGCTATAAGCGGAATAGATCAACTTTGGCCTTTTTATGCTGTGCATAATTGATTGGAATAACCATACATGTGACGTGAATGTGTATATGAATGGTGCGAATGGTTCACCAGGGTGCTTGGTGCCTGTGTGGTTGCGCCACAGAATTAAGCTGTACTGTTCAGATTGTAGAGCTAAAGCCTACATGGTGTCTGGTTCTCCTGTGAAGCGAGATTGGTTTGTACTGATCGGGTTAAGCCTGGATGGTGTCTGGTTCTCCTGAAAACCCATGTAAAATTACCCTGACCCACAAGGGCACATTATATATAACTATAGACTGATCAAAACAACACAATGATTCTTTTATCAAACATAGTTTTTCGACGGTCAGTTCTATTTTTTACTGGGCAAATTAAATAGTCTGATATATATCACATTTTAGTCGAATTTTATTATCAAAAATGTATTTTGGGTTTTCGTACAAATAAAACATTTTTATCACAATTATGTGACATTATTTACCGAGTTCAATTTCAAGTCACTGACTTAGTTCATGAATGATATATATATATATATATATATATATATATATATATATATATATATATATATATATATATATAACAATAATTTGAGTTAAAATCTACATTTCAACAATAAATTATAACATACGTGTGAACGTTTAACTCGTTTTTTAGCTACCAGCCTTTTACGACTTTCTCCTCGTAGATATGGATTTATCAAGAAAATCTATAATTTTGCAAAGAAGACATTAGATTATGAAAAGTGAATATGGTATTATTAATATATGTTGAAATGTTAGGTGGCTGGAGGTAGTTGACAGAAAGTTCTGAATCTAAGTTTTTTTCTGGTTGCCACTCGTCATTAAAATATAACTGGAATCTTGCAGGAACTAGCTTGTTCGACTTTATGTCACCTAACTTCACAGTCTGCGACTCAACCACCTCGCTATTCCGCCAACTACTGACCTTCAGAAGGACTGAAATATTTACATGTTACCTAGATCCAGGGTTTCCAGTCGACTGCTCCTAACCACCCAACATCTCAGCATAGTACGTGCGGTATCCAGTCACTTTAAATTAGTGGTCACATTGGAATTTGAAAGATGACAGTCGATCAACACTTAATGGACTAGATAAAAAAGATATCAATCACTACTCAGCAATCCATTACTAAGAAGCGATGAATATGTATTTACGGGTTTGAACTCTGGCTGCTGATTTTAACGAAAGTATCAAGACGATGAAGTACTTTAATCACATAGTGTATAGGTGTGGATTTTTTTTAATGAACAACAATATCGCAATTATGTATGACTTACACAGAATTTAAGTATAAATTCAGTTTTATATGTAAAAAATTATGCCAACAAATTAACGTTTTTATCCCTTTAATCTTTGAATTAAACATGACTTAATAGTTTGGATAAAGTGATTTTGAGGATCATTAAAACCAACAAATAGTCTTCGTCATGGTTGGGTCTCAGTATAATACCACTGATGGCCAGTGAGTATCAAGAGAATGTTTTAACTTAGTATGGGACCCCTGAGCAATAAGAAATCACGAACCTAAGAAGAACCGAAATCATTATCAGTAGTTTATATGAGCCAGTCCTCTAATGCAATGTTTTAAAAAGCTAGTATGGTTTTTTGGAATTTAAACATTTGTTTTAAGACAATTTATGGAATCTGACGACTTACTTTCCCATCAGTCTTTTGTCCAGAAATAAAATTAGTTTTATGTCCATTTTCATTTGATTCAACTGGACAGTTATCCATATGTTCATTATCACATGAACATTCACCATTTTGCATTTTTCTTATTATCCAATATCGATTAAATTCAATGGTATCTTCAATATCTTGATCACATGGTGTTGGTAAATCATTTGATTTATAATTTAATGGACATGGATTTGGCGGATCACAATAAGCAGGTAAATTATCAAATTTTGATTCTATATGAGATGATTCCAACTCACTAGATAGATTTAAATTATCAGCTGTTGTATCTTGTGCTCCAGCTCCCAATAAAGCATAATCTATCCATTGGCCTGTTTCACTAGAACCTCCAGAAACCTTATGTTCACCCCATAAAGAATTTTGATAAGCAATTTCATTTCGACGTTCTGTTAAACTTGGTTCATTTAAAACTTTATTAATATTATTTCTATTTGGATTTAATTCATAATTATCATTTGATTTTTCGTCAAAATTTGAATAAATTAATTTTGATTTATCAATATCATTTTCTTGTAGTTTGCCTAATTTAGCTTGATTAATTTCATTTAATAATGCATTCCATTGTCTATCAGTAATTTCATAATTTTCTGGATAATCTTGAAAAATCGGATGTTCCAGTGAATATAAACGTTCTAATGTTGATTCTAAACCAGGATTCTGTTTTATATAATCATCGTATAATAGTTTCCCATCATTTATCAATCTATCTATGTACTGATCATAATTGCTAGCAAGTATTTGATCGCATAAATTCGTTAGAAAAAGTAACAACAAGAATATAATAAGCTATAATTAATAGAGAAGAAATAAATGAGAATATTAAGTAAAGTATTTTTCTGAAGTTCTTATTAGATGTTCAATATAGTAATCATCAAAAAATGGTTCCAGAAAGGGAAATAAAAGTGAAGCTAATAAAATATTGATTTAATGTAATATAGAATTGTGGATACATTGAACTGAAATGTTCTAAGATGTATCAATTGACCAGTTCTCTATAGTATTCAAAGTTTTTGTAGCTGATATCAGCTAGTGATAAAAATTATATTCAAACTTAGTAATGTAATGCTTTGCAAAAAAGGATATAACTTACCTTTCTGAAGTTCATTTGAAAAGATATTGCTACATAACACTACATATTTTCATTATTGTGTTGAATTTCAATGAAACTTATTTATAATAAGTCAATTTTCTGATCGATTATTTTAACTCATACATAGAAACTGGTTAGAAAGATAGACTATTTAGTTCACACGTGATATATTTCAGTCTCTCTTCTCTTTCTACTAATTTTTAATATCAATGAACCAATAAGGAAATATGAAAAATGGGCTAGTTTATATTTGGTCAAATTGAAAGAGAGTAAATTTCAGTAGGAGGAGAATTAAACGACCTTGAAGGAAATAAAAATGAGGTAGGAAAAAAATTGATAACTCATATAGAATTACCAACAGTTATGACTTTTTTAAATAATTATTTAATACATAACTAAACTACGTAGTAGCATTATTATCACTGGGATTCAATCATCATTAAGCTGATGATCTAGTGATGCCCAGATATAAATACTTACTTACTTACTTACGCCTGTTACTCCCAATAGAGCATAGGCCCCCGACCAGCATTCTCCAACCCACTCTGTTCTGGGCCTTCCTTTCCAGTTCTGTCCAATTTTTGTTCATTCTTCTCATGTCTGTCTCCATTTGTCGACGTAATGTGTTCTTTGGTCCTCTTCTCCTCCTTTGGACTTGAGGATTTCATGTGAGGGTTTGCTTGTGATGCAGTTGGGTGCTTTCTCCAATGTGTTTCCTACCCACTTCCAGCGCTTCTTCCTGATTCCTTCCTTCGCTAGGATCTGATTTGTCCTCTCCCACAGTAAGTTGTTGCTGATAGTGTCTGGCCAATGGATCCGAAGTATTTTGCGTAGACAGCTCTTAATAAACACTAGTATCTTCTGGGTGATAGCTTTCGTAATTCTCCCAGTTACTGCCCCATGCAATAGAACTGTCTTGACATTTGTATTGAAAATTCTAACCTTGGTGTTGGTTGACAACTTTTTTGAATTCTAGGTGTTCTACAGTTGTAAATATGTTGCTCTTGCTTTACCGATCCCCCCTTCACATCTACATCAGATCCACCGTATTTATCAATGATGCTGCCCAGATATGTAAAGGTTTTTATATCTTCCAAATCTTCTCCTTCAAGTGTGATTCGATTGGTGCATGCTGTGTTGTACGATCGTTATTAATGTCAATAAATATACTTACACAACAAAAAATTATCTATACATATATGTTGATATATAACTAATAAATATTTATATTATTGAATGTAATGCACAAATGTCTGGCTGAAAATTAAGAAAATATAAAGACTGAAAGATATATTTACTATGAGAGAGGACAGATTTATTTTCAGAAGATTGAGAAAATGTTCAGCACAAAATAGTCTTTAATAGCTGAAGGATAGATAGTTTACTCCATTTCGAATCACTTTCCTGTAGTTACTTATACATTTTCTTATGTAAGATAAGTAAACAAACATGTTATGATGTACGTACACATTCATGTTATTTTGCATAACTAGTTTGTTGTCATAGATGTAAGTGCTTAAAAGGACTATTAACTGAAAAGAAACTTCTACTCAGGTCTTCTTAGTCTGATAGTCATGCTGTAGGCTGATGTTAATTCATCACAAAAATGATCTTTAAACCGATGTATCGTTTTCAATAAATACCCCAATAAAGAAAAATATGTCTGAATTGTCATATTGTGTATAAAATGCTGCTGAAATTAGAATACATCAATCACATGCGTTGACAAAATACGTGAACGAATGACCATTTATTTTACATTTCATTTCTTGTATAATCTATATATTCGAGAATTTCTAGAAAATACCGTCATTATTGCTAATCAATGTTCCTGACTACCAGATCATATGTACTATTTAGAAAACGTTACATAACGTCAATATAATCCTTCTTGATTGAAAATTTGTTCTAAAATTGTTTGTAGAATTTACAAACAATTCCCACTGTGAACTGAGATCGTTTGAAAAATCATTGTTTACTAAGGTACATTAATGAGATATTAAGCCTTCATTTTGAACTCATTAAAGATGAATACCGACGACCCTACATGTGATTGAGACATTAAGTTTTGTGATGAGATGGAAAACACTAAATCTTTGACTATTTATTTTCAAATTTTCAGAGATGAGAAAGACGAATATCAACAAATTGTGCGAAATTTGAAGGGAATATACTTCTCCCTAGATGAAAAAAATTGTTAATAAATTATTTTCCATGTCAAACTAACCCATCTTCAAGTTAAAAATCATTTTATTCATTATATGAATCATGTTCACTTTTTACTAGGAGATTTTATAGGCATTTCCCTCAAATCAAAAATCTACCAGTCATATTTTTTATGATACTAACCATTTACTTGAAGATTTCGTGAGTTACGCTACAATAATAAAACTGGTTCCATTGACTGAGTTTTTCGATAAATTCTATTATAAATTTAAAATATGTTAAATGATTTTAAACAAAGAAGGATAGTGCTTAACAGTCGAGTCCAGTACGCTTGTTTTGTCCTATTTGGGACTCGTCAGCTGTACCCGCATAGCAGATTTGATGTTCACTCCGGGACTAGCCACTGTCCATCTTTGCTTAAAAAGATTGTGACTTAATGCTATATCGAAGCAATCCGCACGGGATGCGCATATGCCAACATGTCCTAAGTAACAACGGAAAGATACAAGTAGAACAACACCAACTGAATGTTAAATGATTGTTCAAATTATAGTGATTATTCTATGCAGCTGGTTGCTGAGAATACATTTTGATCCTCGTTTGGTAACTGGGGATAGATTAAGAGAACCAAAATTACAATGATCAACTTACTGTATGTAGGAATCTGAATACTTCTGATCAAAATATGTAATAATGAGGTAACAGTATTTTTCGCAATGTTACACTGTTCTGATAAATGCTGTAAAATATAGATATTTTCATCATCATTTAAGTAGACTATTAAGTGAATATATCCAAGTTTGGGCATAAAGCTTTTTTTAGTTATAAACGGAAAATTACACAGTCATAAAATCAAGGAGGTTCATTGAAATATCGAGCAAATATATTTGTTAGATATATTAACTGATTACGCACATTGTTGGCTATGAATACGAAATTTTAGACATTAATTCCATTTCATTTTTTTAATAATCCACGTTCATATACCTTTAGATTAAAATAAGATAACTTTCACTTAACTTGGTAACTATTTTCTATTTTTAGTAGTTGAGTTGATGACTTAATCTAAGCTAGACCATCGTTGAAAACCTGGAAGCACTGGATGGACGTTTTGTCCTAATATGGAACACCTCAGCACTACGTATCCACGATCCTGAATGCGGCATTAAACAGTTAACTCATTTTTGAAAATCTTAATCATTGGTTCATAAATGATACAAAACAATCTCAAAAATGGAAGTGCACTTTATAATTATCACATGTTTTACTCGTAATTTTAAAATAATTCTTGTACTACTTATAGTAGCTTGAGTAAAAGATAAAACTTTTATAATTGTTTATAATATATGCATAAATAACATGTATACCAGTACATTAGTCTATCGGATATCTGGGTTTTATAGAAATTGTAAAATATCCTTAGAAGTTGATTAATAAAAACGACTAAACATATTTTTGTTTAAAAAACTTTCTATAAAAGACCAAAAAGTTTTTTTTTTATTGTATAAATCTATTTTAGTAAGAACTGAAATTTTCTTTTAAAAAAATCTTGTTTTAATCAACATTCATCAGTTTGAATCAAGTCTGTTTTGCCTTTTTAACAATCATCATTAAATAGTTATGAATAAATATTGTGAAATTATTGAATAAACTTATGAATTTTGCAAAGAAGATAGACATTTCTTTCATATACTTTTCCGAATAGTATAAAATAAGAAAAAAGTTAGTAAGTACGAACTCTACAGAGTAGTTACAATAACAGTTATGATGAAAAGTTCCTGAATCATTCACAGTGATTTTTAAAAGCAAATATCTTTCAAATCTATTACCGAAGTCAATGATAAAATGATGTTTAACATCCTCTAAAAAGTATGCTGAAATTTGACATCAACGTCTTGACACTTAACAAATATGTGTATTGCAAGGGGCTAAGTAAATTGTTGAACTGGCAGGTTTACATCAGGGACTGGTTGTATTTAAAAGGCGCAGAGAACCAGGATCAACTAGACGGTCATTTTATCCTAGCAGTAGACCACGCCTGCGTTGTACATTCACGACCTTGGCATATATGTTTGAGCGTGACCAATTCAAGATAAACAACTGTCCAGTGCTTTTTGGTATGTAATGATTTTACAACTGAAATTAGTCGATAATGTAAAACTACAAATATGAAAAAATATGATAGTGTTGTTCCAGTGACTTACCCTTACAAAGCTATAATCGCTATGAACTCATCATCCAAACGACATATATGATATTTACCATCATTAAATCACAGATTTAATCTCGCTCACAATAGCTTCTTTACTTATGCAGTTATTATTTACTATTATTATTGTTTATAATCTCGATCCCTCCAATTTTTTACTGAAAAATAGATCTTCCACAGATTATTAATGCATATCATTTGTGACATTTACTAAGTTTAACTCGGATAAGTGACATTTAGTTATTTCTAATCATTACAAGGTATCTTCTTGTTGCAGTACATTTACTTAAATATTTGAAAAAAACGCCTTTAAGGTTTTTTATCATTGTCAATAGATGTATAGAAAGTATCATTTACGATAATAAATTGTTTGTGATGCACATTCGATAGCATGTACATCCAAATACATAATTCGTTTTAATATTACTTTTGCTTAATATTATATTTCAACATCATATGATGATAAAACTAGGTACATTAATTTGACAGCTTGTTTGTTGCGAAAGATTGATTCGGTACTTGAAGCTGCTTGCGAGTATTTTCCAACTGTTAATTACTGTGAAAAGTTTGAAATCATTCACATTTATCCAACTGAATTATTCAATAATGTAGCCGTCATATGTCAAGTAACAGTGTGAATTTTATTACGATAATAGTTATTGTCCAAACAAATGAGTAATTTTAGCTAAGCATTTTCGTTAATTAACTTTGTCAATTGTCGTATCACACGTTTCAGGCTATAACTGAGATTTCTATGTTACCAGTATAAATTTATTGTGAGCAATAAAATATATGGAACTAAAGCTT